ATGGGGTGTTTCCATATATCTCCGTTTTCAAGGAGTTTGTCTTTTGTATACATAAGCTCTTCACGTGTTTCTGTTGCAAACTCAAAATTAGGCCCTTCGACAATAGCATCTACAGGGCATGCTTCCTGGCATAAGCCGCAATAGATGCATTTAGTCATATCGATGTCATAACGGGTGGCCTTTCTTATTCCTTGTTCATTAGGTGCAGAATCTATAGTGATTGCTTGTGCAGGGCATACAACTTCGCATAATTTACATGCTATACAGCGTTCTTCGCCATTATCATACCGACGTAGAGCGTGTTCACCACGAAAACGAAGGCTGTTTTACCTTTTTCATAAGGATATCTTATTGTTACTTTTTTTTTAAATAGAGATTTTATGCAGATCCATATCCCATGAATTAGATCAAGAAGTAGTACATTTTTTATGATGGCTTTTGACAAGTTAAAAGGACAAACTTTTTAATATTTTTATTTAACACCGGTATTTTTTGCATATTACAAATTCATCTTATCATAACATATAATATTTGTAAATCAATAACGGATAGTATACCATCACTCTTCGGGTATTTGTAATTTAACATTAATGAATTATACAGTCGCTCCTTTGCCTTTTAGATTACTTGCTTCTTGTTGTGATTTTTTTTTCATTAGTTTGATTTCCATCGTTTTGAGTTTGATATTCAATATCAATGGGATCTTTCTAACACAACATGCTGCGGACAATGCAGATGTAATGACGTTAGCTTTGTCTGCATCGCAGATAATGTATACTATGATAAGTATCGTATATTTTGCTTGGTGTATCTCTTCAGTTCATCAGTCAACGCTAGGACAGCGATTGTTTAAGATAAAGGTTATTAGCTTGTCTCGGGATAAGATTGCTTTTTCTTTGTCTTTAGATAGGTATTTAGCACAGTTGGCTATTCCCACAGTAATGAAGATATTAGGAGTCTTATCTTTAATGTTGAGCTCTACTTTGTATGATTTTTTGTATCTGATGATTGCGCCAGTTTTATATGTATGTGATATAGGTTGGTATGCGATGGCCCTATATGATGATGAGAATGCTACTGTTCATGATAAGCTGTTTAATACAAGAGTTGTCAAAACAGTATAATGTGATTGGACATGGAAGTTCAAGCTTATTCAGATGCTTGCTAACGGTTTGTCGAATGCTGATTATGATAACTCTAATTACACTGTCCACACAATCAGAGCAATTTTTAGAACGAGACTAAGAGAATTGCTCAGATGCTTTCTTTATCCATTCCTCGAATTCTTCTTGTGTGACAACTTCAACGACGATAGGCATAAAGCCGTGCTTCATTCCACACAGCTCGAGCATTGCCCATAAAAGACACCAAGCTTTTTGGCTGTAAACCATGTTTCTGATAGCATGCCAGGTATTGCATCCTTTTTTACTCCAAAGGCCGGAACTGTCCAGCTGTGTATAACATCTGCAGAGGTTATTTCTATCCTAACAGTTGTATTGACAGGTACTACAAGTCTATTGTCTACTTCAAGTAAACGATACTCATCCTGTTTGGTATCATATTTGATGTTGCTGTCAAAGTATAAGTTGCCATGATCTACATATTGATATCCCCAATACCACTGATATCCTGTAACTTTAATTGTCATATCAGCTTTAGGAATTACTTGTTGTACATTTGCAAGATATAGAGAGTGTGGCGCAAGAGCCAGTACTATTCCAAGTGGGATTAGAGTCCAAACAACTTCAAGCCATATGTTGCTAGAACAAGAGCTAGGAACGGGATTCCTTTTTTTATTGAATTTTAATACTACATAAACTAATAGCATACTCACAAATACAACTATGCCTATCATTAGCAATAGAATGATATTGTGAAAACTATCCATCGCTTGCATTACATCGGTTGCAGCGTCTTGAAACCCAAGTTGCCATCTTACTGGAGCATTTGCAAAAGAAAATTCTGGGCACAAAAATAATATCGAGAGAAAGAAAATGTATATCATATCAAAGCCTTTCTGCATCTATCTCATTAAAACTGAAAAAACACAAGTGCTATAGATTCAATAAGTTTCAATATTATCCTTACGTATAACTTGCTATAGTGTGCTAATAACGATGATTCAGATTATATTGCTATGTTATTTTGATATGTTTTAGTTATAATATGGCTTTTTTTCAAGCTATTTATGGATTTAAGTTTTTTTGGTAGGACTCTATCTATTAGTAAAGTTGTTGCTGCAATTCAAGAGAAGACACGTAAAAGCATCATAAGGGCATGGAGTGATGTAAATCCATCTAGTATTCCAGAGCTTGATTTTAGCAATGAGGTTGTTCTAGAGCAGCTTTATACAAAAATGTTAGATTGTGTGGATCCTCGGGGAGGTGATCTTGTGGCAAGGAGAAATTCTGTAAATCTAGGGAAGCTGTATCTGCATTTAGATATTGCCCAAAAAAGCATATTTTTTTCTATGCTATCTGAGAAATTCGGTCCGGATAATAGCAAATTGCATGAGGCGATATCTGAATATATGCAAACAGAATCTGTTGCTTCGCAGCAAAAATTATCTTTAGTATCAAAGTCTCAAAGATTTAAAATACTCAGGCAATTTAATGGGTTGGACAATGGGCTCCAATTTCTTATTCAGATGCGTGCCGATGTTATGCAGGCTATGAGAATTAAACCGGATTTATGGCCTGTGGAGTCTGATTTGAGTGAGATATTGTCATTTTGGTTTGATATTGGGCTTCTAGATATGAAAATGATTTCATGGGATTCTCCTGCCTCTTTGCTTGAAAAATTGATAGTATATGAGGCGGTGCATAAAATCAGTTCATGGCTTGATTTGCGAAATAGATTAGACTCAGATCGAAGATGTTTTGCCTTCTTTCATAATAAAATGCCTTATGATCCTTTGATTTTCGTAGAAGTTGCTTTGACAGATAAAGTATCTTCTAGCATTCATGATTTGTTGGATGAAACATTACCAATTACTACATATGATGATATCAATACAGCGGTATTTTATTCTATATCCAACACTCAGAGGGGAATGGTCGGAATCAGTTTAGGTAATTTTTTGATCAAGCAGGTTGTGAGTGAATTAAAAAGAGAATTTCCTAGCATCGAGACTTTTGTAACATTATCACCTATTCCTGGGTTTATAAAATGGCTTATGAATCATGATAAGCAACGATACTATAGTGATTTTTATGAGTTAACCTCTTCTTTACCTGAGTATGATGAGTCGTTATTATCTGTAGTGTTATTATATCTTTCTACTACTCAGAATGATAAGGTTGTAGATCCTGTAGCGCATTTTCATTTGTCTAATGGCGCTAGTATTTTATCAGTAAATTGGGAAGCCGATAAGTCGTCTAAAGGGTTGAAGAATTCAGCAGGGATTATGGTAAACTATAAATATGAATTGAGCAAAATTGATGAGTATAGCGCTCAATATTCTTCTCGAGGGATTATAAACTTTTCTAAAAAGATGAGGAAGTTGTTAGATAAATATAAGGATCTTAAGCGCATATAGAGTATATGATCTATTTGTATTTTTTGTAATTCCTATCATAGGTTTGATTCGTATTATTGCTTTTTTTTGACAGGTAAAAGCTTTTGTGATGCTTATTAAAGTACATAGACTTCTGCTATTTAAAATATAACGCTGTTGCACTCGCATTCATTCTTTATCTAGGTATTTTGCTATGATTAAATCCATCGATCTTTTTATCATTTGTACGTTGACATAATATGCATTTGTATATGTGTGGTTCTTAAACCAACTTATTTGTCTTTTTGCGTATCTACGTGTTTCTAGCATTCCCGAGGCCAGTGCCTTATCTAAAGAGATATTGCCTTTGATATATTCTATTAATGACATCATTCCGCAGCATTTTTTGCATGAGTCAATTTCTATTGTTTTTGTCAGATTGCATATTTCTGCGAGTAACCCTTTGTTAATCATTTGTAAGAATCTTTTATTAATTGTAGCATACAATGTTTGTCTAGGTTCTGTAAGAATAATGGTATCAAATATCATGTCTTGGAAAGGTTGTTGTCTTGTATTACGCTGCCATTCGCGCAAAGATCTCCCTGTTGCTTCTAAGATAGCAGCACTACGTGCAGCCCTGTTGAGATCTTGATGTAACTTCTCATTCTTATGCAAGGCATTAAGATAACTTATCCCCTTGATTTTTCCTATATTATAGTATTTTAAGAGTAGATTGTCTGGTGGTGTAGGTATTTTGATAATCCATATATTAGATTATCTATATACATGTAAGATCCCCCTACAAGTATGGGAATTTGTGGATATCTATTTAGTATATCACGTAGTTCCTGTATCCATATTGATACAGAGTAGTGATTTTTTATAGAGTGATGGCCTTGCAACAGTATAGCAGAGTTAGCGAATTGATTGCTGAGAATGGGAATTTCTCTGTATATTTGCCTAGAATCGGCATTGATCACTATAGCTCCAAGTTCTCTTGCTAGCTGTAATGCATAAGCAGTTTTGCCTGTGCCTGTAGCTCCTGTGACAATTATAGCGCGACGCATAGGCTTAGATTTTGACATTCAATAAATACTTTGCGTATGGGATGCTTCGAAATCTAGCGACCTATACGTTACCTTGTTATGTAATGCAGGGCAGGGATGAGAGCCACAAAGATGTAAAAACAAAAACTTCTCTTTATTTTGCTCTAAAAGCAGACAAAGCACAAAGCGCTATCTGTAAGAGCAAAGCAATAATGTAAAGTTCCTTATAAAGCTTACCCAACCAATTCTTCGTCAGCCACTTTATCAGTTTGCTCCTCTTCTTTATCATATTTTATTTCGCCATTTTTTGTTCTATTACCATACACTTTATCAAAGTTCTGCGTTTTATCATTCCAAACTAATCTTTGGTAAACCAAGCGAGATTCCACAAGAACAAGATCACCATTGTTATCAACAGCCATATCTTTTCCTGCGCTCATTGCTTTCATGAATTCTCTTCTAAGTTTTTCTTGGTACACTCCACCAAAAATCGCTTTTCCTCCTGGAAATGAATCCCAACGAGAATGCACTTCAGACATAAGAAACTCCTAAACTAAGTAATTATATTTCACCATGATATACTATTTATACAAGAAATGCAATACATAACACAGAAAATTTAGAGCTATCAGTTTTTTAATGCATTTTTCTGTGTAAAAAGCTTTTAGGAAGGAAACACTCACCTTTATGTGCAAAAAATCATGTACCTTCTGTGCAAGTAAAATAGACCCCTTCTTTTTAAAGAAGTTATACAAGTCTACAACAGGTCGAATGTGCGAGACACAGAAAGCAAGTGCTATATAAACTTAGTGTTCTGCTTATTGAAGATTTTTTTAGAGATCAGTTTTTAGGCATTGCATTCTTTTTCTAGCAATGTTTGTTCTTCATCGCTAAGCAAGGGTAAAGCGTCTAGTCTTTTTACAACTTCGAAATATTTAAGTACCAAGTTACCTAAATCTAAGCGGAATCTATCTTTATCCATAATCTTATCTTCGAGATTTTCTACATTCATATCTAACAATCTACAAGTATCACAGCTGATTTCATCTCCTAGGATTATTTCGCCGTTTTTAAATCCAAACTCTAATTTGCAATCTACAAGTTGTATTGATTTGTCTGCGAATACGTTACTAATGATCCCGTTAATTTTTCGAGCTTCGTTTTTAATGTAGTTAAGCTGTTGCATGTCTAGGAGATCCAAGAGCAACACATGATCTTCTGTGATTAGAGCATCATCTGCATGTAGTTTATAACTGAGTTCTATAATAGGAGGAGAAATAGGGATGTTTGCTTCCATTAACAATCTCCTGCATAAGCTTCCAGCAGTGAAGTTTCGTACTACAACCTCGATCGGGATCATATCGAGAGCGTAGACTAGTTGATCAGATCGATTTACAAGGCTGATAAAATGCGTTTTTACTTTTTGAGCATTTAATTGAGTCATTAAATATGCACTTATCACATTGTTAGCCATGCCTTTTCCTGGTTTGGGTGTGCTATCTTTTATATTGAAGCGCGTAACAATATCTTTAAAATGTTGTATCAATATATCCTTGCTAGGAGTTGCATAGGAAACTATCTTCGCTTTGCCCTCGTATAATTTAACACAATTTTTGAACATTAAGACTCCTGAGCTTGTCAGTATATCCTGTTACAAGTATTTTTCACAAGACCTTTGTTTTAAAATACATAAGAAGTATTTTTAAATACTATATGACAGCATGCTCAAAGATCATGATTTTTTTTGATGTTTTTTTATTTGTAAATTATACAGGTGTACTCTGGAGGATGTGGGATGTTTTATGCTAAATTATGATGGAGTAGTTTTTTTATCTGCTATGTCAATCTTAATCTTGATTCAGATAGGGGTAGTATTATGGTGTCGATGTAAAGGTCCAGATAACAGCTTAGATGGATATTTTGTTTCGCACAAGTCTATATCTGTTGCGCCGCTTACGTTATCTTGTTTGGCTACACAGCTAGGAGGGGTCGCTATTATTGGGACTGCTGAAGCTGCATATTCACATGGATGGATGTCTATTTCTTATGCGCTTGGTTTATCTATAGGTTGTGTGTTTCTTTCGCTGGGGATAGGGTCCTGTTTTAATAGGTTGAATATTTCTACTATACCTGAAATTTTTGAAAAGATATATGGCAGCAAATTGTGTAGAGTTCTTTCAAGTATATTGATGGTATATTCCATGTTAGTGATTTTGTCATCGTTAGCTTTATCTATGAGAAAATCTTTTTATGCCATGGGCTTCTTAAATGATACATTTTTTCTTGTATTCTGGTTAGGGATGATAACGTATACTGTTTGGGGGGGATTTAAAGCAATCATTGTGTCTGATTCAGTTATGAGTATTTTTATACTGGGCTTGCTTGCTATAATAGCATTTTTGTTGTTTAGGGACTATTCTTTCGTAACTGTATTGCATGCTGATATTTCGATGTCCTCGTTTAAGGACTTCAGGTCATGGATTTTTACTCCTGCTTTGTTTGTTATTATAGGGCAGGATATGGGGCAAAGGTGTTTTTCAGCTAAAGACTCTAAGACAGTGTCATTAGCAACGTTTTTTGCAGCGGTGTTATTGCTTGCTACTACTATTGTGCCTGTATCTTTGGGGGTGTTATCTTCTGAATTATCAAATCATATGTTAGGGTATGAGATTATGGAAAGGATTACTGCCTTGTTTTCTTCTGAAATAAGCGGTTTGTTTATGTGTGTTGTAGTTTTAGCCATAGTGTCTACAGCCGATTCCGTTTTGTGTTCTGTCAGCTCTAACATTACTCTTGACTTGCTGAAATCAAGAAAATTCGCACAGCTTTGTACTTTCTTGGTGGGGGTATCTGCTTTAGTATCATCTTATTTCGTTGAAGGGGTAATTAACTCTTTGATTAAGGGTTATCTTATAGCAATTTCCTCTATTGCTGTCCCTGTTCTTATAGGGGGCTTATTGCCTAAAATCTGGCATGATAAAGCGTCAGCTGTATTCTCGTTTTTTGCTGGTTTTTGTTTTGTGGTGTATCTGACAGAGGCATCTGATATTTGGTATATTGCTGATTATATAGGAAGAGATATTTTCCCTATATTAATTTCTGCTATTGTGTATTTTATGTCGTTACTATGTTCCAAAATATATAATTTTTGTAACAGGACTTTTCCTAGATAAGTCTGTTGCGATGACAAGAAGATACATTGTATGTATCTTCCCATGATACGGGAGAATAATACCGTACAAAAAACAAGGATCTATCAAAAGGACAGCACTCAGTAACGATTTAAGACAAAGGAATGGGAGCAATATGGAGTAAGCCACTTATCAGTAACCAGTTGGTATAGAACAATATAAGGAGGCTGGCGCTATCATCCAATCCCGATCCCTGAAAAGCTAGAATCAGTTGCGTGGCATTCTAATGTTAAATTGCATCCTAATGCAACTTTCTCGACGTTAGGTGCTCATTTTAGAACTACGGCAAAGAGATTGAATTATTACATGAGAAAATATGGATATAAAAAAGAGTTGCGCTATATGGAGTACAAAGACGCCCGAAGAATAGAATATTCTAAAAGAATAAGAGGAAAAAAAAGATCTTGTTCACACAGATGGAAGTTACGTAGATAGTGTGCAAACACAAGACGTGGGTGCGGCTGATAGGAAGAAGTAGCGCTAAACTAGATCAAATATAATTGCAGCACGAGGCATATATTGGCGGCCTATGGGCTGGTCAGTCTTGATGCATGGGCAGAGCATAAAGAGATAAAGGAGCAGGGCGGGCAGTGATTCGATAAATCGCTTAAAATAAAAGAACCTATGTAGGCTGTTAGCTTTTTGTTAGCATCTCCACCACCTTGCTTTTTTAACCTCAATCCAATAGAAAAACAATATGTGCTGAACTTGCAAGATACTTATAAGGCCATGTCCTTCTTCTTTAAAAAAGGTCTCCTGTGTCATAGTAATATATAAATTTATGTGATAAGGGCAGATGCTCATGCTTACATCTACACATAGTTGATGATAGACATTGTAAGATAGGGATGTGTTGCATATTAGAGCTGAATCTACATAAGCGTTATAAACTTTTATTATGAATACTGTGTATTTTAATGAAAATAATGGATTATTGTTATATATATTATATTTAGATCCAAATGCAGTGTCTGATTTGACTGTCATGATCTATAGCACAAGGGGATAGTGGTGACAAAGAGATTTGCAGAAGAGCTTAATAAAATTGCAAATGATATTTTTCTAATCTTGTTTGCAATCTTACTAATAGTCAGTATGATTACACTGACGCTGATCGTAGTAGCTTCAAGCAGAAGATACAAGCAAGCAGATTCTAGAAAGGTTGTGCTTTTTGATCAACCTCCTGAGCGCCTAACTCCAAGTTTAGAGCTTATAGCTATTCCAGACTTAGGGTATCCAGATGCTGCGTGCTGCCAACCATTAATATATGGTACTGCAGACAGCATGATACAAACTTTTAGATATAATGATTTCGATTATTTACCAAAAAGTTTGGATAGAATATGTAAGCCTCGAAAACGTCAAGACAGAAAACAAAAGCAAGCGATACTCAAGATTGAAAGTGCTAAAAATGATGACACAGAAACTGCCTATACTGTGGATATAGAAAAATATAGAACAGAGCTTGTTAACGTGACGGATCTCAATGTACAAGAAACAACGAGAGCCGTTTTGGCTTTTCTCTTGTTATTCCCACAAGAGTGCTTTGATGAGAGGCTAACTGTAGAGTGTTATTACGAATATTGCGCTTTCTTGCTTTCGTCAAAGGGGGAGAGTAGAGCCAAGTTGATTGATAGTATTTGTGCTTATATTGCTTTGTCTAGTGCCAGAATAAATTTCACAGGAAAAACACGCTTGGCTTCAGCTCTGAATGATTTCCCGAACGTTTTTGTACATGGTATACAGCAATATAAGGATTCCATGACGAAAGCAAAGAATCAGTATGAAGACGATCTACGGCTGATATATATCGGGGTAAAGAATAAAAAAAGCAAGAAAGAGAAAGAAGTTTATGCCGAACGAGAGGCCCAAAAAGCAAATAATGCATATGAGTGTAAACTCTCAAAGATGAGAAATACCTCATTAGAATCAGTGACAAAGAGATGTGGTGAGAGCCTAGGCGTGATTTTAACAAAATACAAAACGAATAAACTAGTGAGAGATACGATCGTAGCGGAGTTCTCTCGTCTTGGAGAGACTCATAATCCGCTGTATTCAAAAATAACTTATATACCACAAGAAACATCGAAGGCTGGATGTCATTCGGCCGACATCCAGCATCATCCTATCTCCGTTGCCAATGTCGCACCCATAATTCCAAGCGCGGACACTCAAAGCATTTCAACTACTGCAACAACAACTCCGACAGATAGCATAAATGCAAACGGACATAAGTTTCTGAATCTAAGCCCTGCTGTGGAAGAGCTTCAGAGCGAGAACACAAAGGCAATGTCAAAAAAGAACAATTTTGCAATTGAAGGTGCCACTCAACTACGACATCAACAAGAGGGCAGGGCTAGGAAGGGATAAGTGTTAATTCCATGGAAGGAGATGATCTTATGATGAGATTATTCGATTTTGTGAGCAATATATGTTCGAAGCCTCTATTACAAAATATTATTATATGATACCACTTCAACTATGGAAAATTTAAATAATGAGCAGCAAAAAGCTGTAGATGTGGTTAATGGTCCTGTGTTAATTTTAGCAGGGGCGGGGACAGGAAAAACAAAAACTTTGGTGGCGAAAATCAGTAATATTATTTCTTCAGGGTATGCTCGTCCTAGTGAAATTCTCGCAGTGACTTTTACAAATAGAGCTGCAAAAGAAATGAATAAAAGACTTTCTGAACAGATTGGTTCTGTGTATATGGAATGGCTTGGAACCTTTCACTCTGCTGCTGCTAAAATATTGCGACGTCATGCAACATTAGTGGGGCTAGGGGATGATTTTGTTATTATAGATGCTGACGATCAAAGAAAGCTTGTAAAAAGTATTTTACCAGAGGGAGCGACGAAAGATTTTCGCAAAGTCTTAGTCTCTAAAATACAAGCGTGGAAAGACAAAGCATATATGCCCGATAATGTGATTTCTAAAGGGGCTCGTGATCTAGAATGTCTTGGGTATTATAGGAGCTATCAAGAGCGTTTGCGCAGCTCAAATGCTGTGGATTTTGCTGATCTACTTTTATATAATATATTGATATTCAAAGAAAACTCTGCTGTGTTAGAAGAGTATCAGAAAGCAATTAAATACATATTAGTTGATGAATATCAAGATACTAATTTTATTCAGAGTTTATGGCTTAAACTTCTTGCGCAAAAAAATAGAAACTTGTGTTGTGTCGGGGATGATGATCAATCGATATACGGTTGGAGAGGCGCTGATATTGAAAATATCCTAACTTTCTCAAAGGATTATCCTGATGCTCAAATAATACGGCTTGAACGTAATTATCGATCTACACCACATATTTTAGCTGTTGCGTCTAGTGTTATCGCGAACAATTGTTCGCGATTAGGGAAAGATTTATGGACTGAGAACAACACTGGATCTAGGGTGCATGTCATGGAGTTATATGATGGCAGAGATGAAGCTAAATGTGTTACAAATATCATAGCTAATTTATCTAACAGTATTTTGTTGAAAGATATAGCTATCTTAGTAAGAGCTGGCTCTCAAACAAGATTGTTTGAAGAGAGCTTCGTCAAGAAATGCATCCCATATCAGGTTATAGGGAATCTCAGATTTTATGAGAGGAAGGAAATTAAAGATATGATAGCCTATCTTAGGTTGATAGTAAATCATAATGATAATCTGGCATTTGAAAGGATAATTAATATTCCTGCTCGAGAAATAGGAGTTGTAACTGTCAAGAAAATTTACAAAGAATCTTTGATGGAGCGTATATCTATGTTAGATGTGTTGCGCAACATGCTTCTTAGGGGCGATCTTAAGCGGTGCAAGTCTCATGCTGAAGTGTTCCTTAGCAAATTTGATACATGGACTGAGCAATTAAAATCAATGCCATTGAATGATTTTATGATGACAATCGCAGAGGATTCAGGTTATATAGATATGTTGAAAAATGATGAAGAAGGAAGGTTGGAGAATATTCGTGAATTGGTTTATGCCTTAAAGTCGTTTGAGGATCCAGTGGAGTTTTTGCAGCATGTTAGTTTAATCACTAGCATTGATTCTGATGAAGATCAAAGTATGGTCAAAATTATGACTTTGCATATGTCAAAAGGATTGGAGTTTCCATGCGTCTTTCTCCCCGGATGGGAGGAGGGGGTCTTCCCTAATAAAAAATCTATTGATGAATATGATGAGGCAGAAGAAGAAAGACGGTTAGCTTACGTAGGGATTACTAGAGCAAGGAATGATTTATTTATTCTTTACGCAAAAAATCGCTTTCTGAACAATACTTGGCAAATGATGTTGCCATCTCGTTTTGTCACTGAATTGCCAAAAGAACATATAAAATTTACAGCCCTTAGTAGGATGTATTTCTATTCTAGTTGATCTTTTTGTGTGTATTCTTTTATAAGAAAGATTCTATATGTGATCTGGATCTTTATTCTGATGTGAGTTAGAATTTCGACGCGTACGGATGTTTTTAGGAGAGATGGCCGAGCGGCTTAAGGCGCACGCTTGGAAAGCGTGTTCATGTTTATAGCATGACGAGGGTTCGAATCCCTCTCTTTCCGCCGTCTTTACATAGATATTCAGTATATTAGAAGATGTTGTAGGATACACTAACAGCTTTTTGTGTGCAAGTTTAAAATAGCAAAATACTATAAAAACATAATGTCTTAAAGACTATTGTTGATTATTTCATAAGAAGGTTTGTAGTATAGTGCTTTAGCAATACATGTACGGTCTATTTGATCAGGGGAGGATAAAACCGCCCGCTATTGTCCATGCTACTTTAAGTACTCTATGATATCCTCTGACGGATAGATGTGTTTTTTTGTAAAGCTTGTTTTAGTATTTTAGAAATTTCTTTATCCATGATGCAGAATTTAGATAATGACTGTGCGTCGATTTCAGCGTTGAAGCTTATATTTGTATTAGCAAAGCCTTCTTTTTGTTGGTTCGCAGCGTTGGGAGCAGTGTCTTGTATGATTTGAGAGTCATCGACTTCTTTACTGTCTATAAGGCTGCTTGCATCGATATCTTGTAATTCAACATCTAAACTGAATCTGTCGAGTAGAGGAATAGATATTTTCTTTTGATACTCCATTCCACATTTAGGAGCCTTAGAGCACATGAATCTATTGTTGAACATATATCCGCACTTGCAGGGATACATTGCTGCAATAAGTTGAAAGTTTGAGGGATATGTAGTTGTGGGAGGACTCTAGCAATTGTCACATTTCCTGCTTCTAGAGGTTGTCTCAGTGCATCTAGAACATTTCTGTGTAACTCTGGTAGTTTGTCAAGAAATAATACACCGTTATGTGCTAATGTGACCTCTCTTGGCTTGATGGAGGTGGCCTCCTCCGACTATCACAGGTGCCATAGAGCATGAATGATGTGGATTGCGAAAAGGGCGTTTTATTTGTACTGTAGATTTGATTTTTCCCATAATGCTTGCAATCATGTTGATCTCTAGAATTTCTTGGTTTGCAGGGTCGGGGAGTAATGAAGGGATTTTTTGCGCTAACATGGTTTTTCCTATACCAGGGATCCTACCATGAGAAGATTGCGTCGCCCTGCATAGGCTATTGCTAGTGCTTTTTTTTGCAATTTTTTATCCTTTGATATCTCCCATGAAAAACTTAGCTTCTTTATCGAGTGAGCGTTTAATTGAAGGAGAAGAAGTATGGTTTGTTTTTATAAAGTAATCGATGATCTGAATGATATGTTCTGGGGCAATGATATTGTTATTTGCTCCTATAATTGCCTCTGCTCTGTTTTGTGCAGGCATATAATTCCAAGGTTGGTCTTTGCAGCATGCATAGCTCCGGGCAAGACAGAAGATACGGGGAGGGAGATGCTCCCGTTTAAGGATAATTCTCCCGTACATATATATAAATAGGGCAATTTTGTCATTGTCTATAATTGACATCGCAGATAAGAGTGTGAGACTTATAGCAAGGTCATAGTGAGTGCCTTCTTTCTGTATATCTACAGGCGAGAGGTTAACGGTTATTCTCTTTAGAGGGAAGGAGAATTCTAGCAAGTTGATAGATGCACGTACGCGTTCTTTGGGTTCTTCTACTGCTTTGTCTGGTAAGCCAACTACGTTGAAAGCAGAGAAACCTCCAATAATAAGGTATATTTGTATGCTACGTCCACTACTGATATTTCTTGAAAGCTATAGTTCTTCCTTGTGCATGCATTAGGAGGGGAGTTTCGAATAAACAATCAAGAGATTCTCGTCAGAATTATTGTCCTCGGCAAGATCTTTCTATAATTTAATATAGGATTCTTTGGTAAAAAAAATGATCGCATTGTAATGTTCTTTAGTATAAATATGTCTTTATTTAGCTTTGCACGCTGAAATATATTTGTGTATAAGTGAATATGCAGCATTTATTATGTGAATATAGCATGTGTGCCAACAAAAAAGTTACATGTATATTTAGAGATTATATGTATAGGCCCGAAAAGTGATATTTTTGCAACAGTTATGTAAAACAGTGATTTTTGGTGGTCGGTGTTTTTAACATGAGGGGGTTGTGAAAAACTATCTTGTGAAGTGAGCTATACCCTTTTGTTGGATGCAGCATGTCGATATATTTAGATACAAGTTTTGTATTTTTTTAGGCTGTTTTTTTCAGGTGAAGCTAACTTTGGGTATAATACTTAGTGAATATTATGTTTTCTTGGAATGACTTTATCTCATCTTTGAAAGAAATATATCACGAGGGCTTGTTTTTATTATTTTTTTATTGTATAGTTTAGATTAACTTGTGTATATCAATCTTGTGACGGTATTTTTTGGTATTTATGTGTATTTGAAGCTAATAGGTCCTCGGTTTTTTTATTAACGATGCTGTTGCTTTTATGCCACATTGCTGTGTGGTTTTTTACATGGGCGTTTTATTTTGTGTTTTTGCACTTGTCTGTGCATCGCTAGTATCCTAGGTTCGCAATAAGTTAACACATGCTTTAGTTCTTAAGTGACGATATGTTTCTTATTGAAATTCTGTATGTTGTATACTTTATAAGTGTTTATTGATTCTTTATAAGAGGGTTTTATTATGAGAGTTTTGGTAGTAGATGACAATGTAGAAGAGGCGAATCAACTTCGTGCTATTCTTAATTCAGCAGGGTATATCTGCGATGTGTCACATACAGGGGAAGAGGGGCTTGCTATGTGCAACGGTGCAAATGGCTATAACTATGATTTGTTGATATTAGATAGATTATTAACAGATTTAGATGGATTAGATGACTTTTTGCCTCGTTTGCGTTACAAAAAATCTCAAGTTCCAGTTATCTTCCTCTCTGTTCTGGCTGGGGACAGACCATAAGGTAAGGCATTAGAGTATGGTGCTGATGATTACATGGTGAAGCCTCATAACACTAATGAGCTTCTGTCAAGAATTAGGGCTGTTGTAAGAAGAACTAGAGGACATGTTTCTTCGACTTTTGTAATTGGAAATTTGCTTTTAGACTTTCATAGGCAAATTTGCAGTATTAGAGATTCAAAGAAAATTATTCCTTTAACCAATAAAGAATATGGAATGTTGGAGTTGTTGTGCTTATATGGGCCAGGTACTATAGTGTCTAAAGAGAAGTTTATTAATCATTTGTATTCAAATAATGAACCTTCAGATCCGAAAATAATAGACGTGTTTATGTGCAAACTGCGTTACAAGATTGCCCATCAAAATAACGGAGCTAGTTATATAGAAACAGTCTGGGGTCGTGGATACTCTCTTAATGAGAATGCTCCACTTCAAGATGTTGACGGTTCTGAAAAAAGGAAAAAGAATCGTCTTCCCGCATAGATGCAAGGTGGTGGAATCTGGAAGAGGGGAGGTAGCCTTCTTCCGCTTTCTCGTCAATCCGCTACTGCTTTGAGGAGCTTTTTAAGCAAATTAGATAAGTAGCAAATCAATTTCAGAAAAATTATTGATTTCTGTTGCATTTTTGCTTCCTGTTTATACAGTAAAGTATATGCAGTCTACACTAATACGGCCTGTCGATAAGGCTAATATTATAGCTAATATTGTCGCTGAATTATATCCTAATGTGGATTTGGTGTGCGAGGATCTCTACCTTCTTAATAAAGTCAGCAACGAATTGAAGCAATTTAAAATTTCCCTGCTATATAAAAAAACAGATGAAAGCCTTTATGTTTTTATCGATATTTATGATTCGTTGAGGGAGGAATATGGTGATCTTGGTTATTCAGAATTTATTAATTTATATCTAGAGAAATGTCGCAAACATATCAATGAAATATCTCTATCAGGGAATTTGATTAGTTATATAAAAGATACTTATTCGCAATTCCAGAGTTTAGAGCATTACAGGAGCTGTGTATTAAATAGAATTAATGCTCCTGTGGATGTCTTGCAAAAATATGAGAAACATCTTTCTGTTGTACAATGTCAGCGGATGTCTTCTAAGACATCAGTGATTTTTTGCTGATAGAAAAAAATCTGTTTTACCTATGAGTGCTGAAAGAATGTATTTTATCTTTGATGATACGGAGACAATCCCGGACTGGGTGCCAATATGCACTGCTCAAGAGAACGCTTTGCTGGATTGTCAGGTCTTAAAAACATATCAATACTCTGATATTGAGGTGAACAATGTTCCGCGAGAGATCTCTATAAGCGCGATAAACAAGTTAATTAAAAACCCTTATGTATTTTTCCTGAGATATATCCTGGATGTAAAGGAAAAGTCTTTTAAAGGATATGCTTTTCGTGATCTCGTTTTACCGATCTTCCAATCTTATTTGCAAGGCAAATCTCAAGAGATAGAAGGGATATATAAGAAACATTTTGATGAATATAGCTGCGCAACGAAAATTCTTGTAAAAGATAAGGGGTTGGAGGTGGTCAGAAGATTTGTAGCGCTTTATCTAGAGCGCGAAGGTGTTGCCGAGGGTATTAAAAATCAATGTCATGTTCTTCTTCAAAAAGGTTGTTTTTCGATCTATGGACAGTGTGATGCAGTGGATTTTAATACAGATGAGACTCTTACTATCGTCAAATATAACTTTGGGAGCATCCCCAGCTATGAGTCAATTTATTATGGAGAGTGTATCGTGCCTATTTTGCATGTTATCGCTGCTTCTGAATTTTTTAATAAGAAAGTATCCGCTCTATTATTATATTGTATTACTCCTGCAGGGATTGAGGTGAAAAAATATAGCGGGAGATGTTTTAACTCAGTCTATAGAGAGGGTAAGCAAAATCTTGATAGACACACTTACAGTAATGAATAATGGTTTTTATTATACGAAATAGAGAGCATATCAAGGCATATTGAACCATCCATGGATGTGGATTCTAGAATTAGATGACGTTGTGTTAAAAGATGCAAATCTATGGACGCTATTTGCGATGATTTGAGGGCTTGTTACAAGTGATATTTTTGACTTGATTTATCAAGATTATTATCTCAGATGCAGATAAAATAAGTGCTGCTTTAAACGGTATGCTATAAATAAAAGACACCTGAAGTATGGGCACCTGATCAAGAGAGAGATGCAAGAGATAATAACAGAGAATAGTAGAGT